TTTATTAAGTAGTTATTACACACACACACACACACACACACACACACACACACACACACGCGCGCGCGCGCGCGCGTGTCAATATAATTTTTATTTAATTTTTAAATTTTATTTAATTTTTAATTTAATTTTATTTTTAATTTAATTTTATTTAATTTTTTATATTTTGTATTTTGTAAGAAAATTTTTATTTTCGCGTTTTCAAATTCTATATTTTTATATTACATCAATATTATCACAACTCGGTTCAGTTTTTAAGAAGCCTTCACTATAATTAATTGAAAAATACGTTTTTAAGATATTGTACTTTCAAATTATATAAAAATAATCATTTTTTTATATTGATAAAACAAATGTTTTTATCCTCCGCACATATTCATACACTTTGTAGACTACCCCCTTAATATAAAACTGTCTAATTAAGCATTCGCTTCATATCTTTGTCTTGCATATATTTTTCTCTCATTCATTCACTCGCTTATTCGCTTTTGAATATCATCGAGTAAGACAGCACACTCGATGAAAAGATACATTTCATCCACCATAATTTGTATAAACATGACTTACATTTGGCATACGGACTGTTTCGTCAGTTCTTAAAGCTAAATTAATAAACTTTTAATATCTAAACTTAATATGTAATAATATATTGCAGCGATCAGTGCAGTGACCAATCTGCTGACTATACTTATATACAAATAAAAAAGATATTTTATTATTCTTTATGGGTGTATTTTTTATCAAATCTCGTTGTTTTATGCTACTGAATAAAAGTACGTCTTACTGAATGATTACATCGTATAATCGTTTGATTACATATGTTTGATCAATAGTATTTTTAATAGGAATTAAAACAATATATTAATTTTTCAATTTTATATAATTGCAATAAAAATCAACTTAGTATAAACATCAATATACATATAATTTTTCAATAATAATACGATATTATGTCGATATTATAACGGAATTACATCCAAAGAAAAATTATATTTATATTGAAAAAAATCGTTTCTTTAACTTGATTCTTTTAAGTTAAAAATATGAAAATATTTTTAAGAAAAATAAAAATTTATTTGATTTCAAGAAACATGACATTATTAGCCCTTTTTAAGATAAATTTGTTCAAATTATTTGTATAAATAAAATAAATAATTCGAGGAAAATGTTGACAGAAATAATTTAGTTGTTGTGGTTATTTTAAATCAAGAAAATTATTATTTCTTTAAATGAAATAAAAGATTTTTTGAACTATATACACTCGCGACTGCACAAAAGTATGTACGTATTTCTGCGCGGCCATATTTTTGGTTAATCACAAAGATTGCTCGTAATTTGACTGTGACAAAGGACCACAAAAAGTGGTTAGTGTTCCCTCGCGTATCATCAGGCGGTTTCTAAACTATTCTTGTTGTGCTCTTTTAAAATATTTTATTAATACTTCTATTGTATACTGTGATTTTTACGTGATTTATGTGATTTATAAAAATTTTACGTGATTCTAGTATTTTCAACAACTAATCGTCAAAAAAGAACGTGCAACGCGATATTGATTATTTTATTAATTTTCAATTTATTCGCAATGTCCGATAAAAAAATATATGGTGAAATTTTTAATTATATATAAAAAAATTTTTTTTTAATGTAAAGAAATTTTTTGTTACATTTAGAAAATATATTTCATTCTTTTAAAAAAGATTTTCGTTGCACAACCTATTTCTTTAATCTCAATAAAAAGAAACAATCAAGAAATTTGTTCAAATCAAAGAAGATTTTCTTTAACTGTATAGCAATGCACAAATTTCCTTAATTCACACAAATTTTTTTTAATCAAAAAAACTTTTCTTTGGGTGTAACTATTGATATTATCAAGGATTATTTATCAACTATCAGGAATTTTTAATGTGTTTCTTTTAACAAATTACGTAAAAGGAAAAAAATATAACATACAGGATGTTTTATTTTATTCGACGCGCTCGATCTTGAGAATTAAATGAGATATGAAAATCTGATTTTTCTGTATAATTTTGAAAAGGATACATTTTAATTAAAAGAAACGTATTACGTACATATTAATAATAAGTTTTAAATGTCAAAAGATTTTTTTTTTAGTATCAAATTATTTAATGTTAAATTAAAATATAATTTGTCCGTTACCAAATTAAATGATTTTGTTAACATTTTATTTTTATAATTTATACATATGTATATATTATACTATTTCTTTTTTGTATTTTTCATTTAAAATATACATTAAGAAAATGTATTAAAAATAGAACTGACTTTTAATAATATCGATATCGGTGTTATTAAAAAAATTATATATGTATAAAATTATAGATCTGGTAGTGTACCTCTACTTTTATAATATTAATATTCAAGAAACATTAAAGATATATCGGTATTAGATATGTTAAATACGGATAACAGAAATTTTTATAAAATCAATATATAAATATAAATTTTATATATATATTTAAAAAATTT